AATATATGAGGAATACAGTAAAAAAGGAGAAAAAAAGCACGCATCTGTGACTAGCCTTGATTTATTCTTGACCTCGTCACAATATCTTTGATTCAGGCATAATGTAAGGTGTCGTTCATTGATGGTTTGTTAACTAAGGAAAATCATCCAAACAAAAGTTTAAAACAATTGTTGCAAAACCACCTCTTGAAATAGTACTAGCTTCAAGGACGTGAGCCCAAATTCCGGTACTCTTTCAATTAACTGATCCCAAAGTAAAAGAATAAATATGCAAAGAATCCCCCTCCGGTCGAGTGCGGTCCAGCTTGGAGCTTCGTTTCACGCTCTCGAGATTAGGAGAGGCCGGTTTCTCTCCGCGGATTCCTAAGAGACCGCGAAGTGATTAAGTGAACGAGTCATCACGCCGAAACAAAAGACCCGGAAACGATCTGTAACGAATGCTCATGCGGAGAAACTCGTGTCAAATTGAGGAGTCTGTAGAGGAACAAGGGTCTCGTTCAGATGGACGCTGGAGTAATGCTCGACTAAGAGTTACTTTGGCGCTAGATAATTTGTTGCACCGTTTTACCTACGTCCTTTTAATGTGATGAAAACAAAGTAAACGACGACGATTTTTTAAAGGTTGGCTAACGCACTATTCAAACTGGTCATACTATTTTGACAGAGATCATGTATAGTTAATTTTTGAAATGTTGGGGTTAAAAGGACAGCGTTTTGTGAAGGAGTAAGTAGACTTATTGATTCAGTCACAAGGAACTAACCACTCAGAAAGTTGACGGAAGCTTTGACGCCGTGTTCTGCACCTGACAGGTTTCATAGCAATTAAAGAACAAGGATGTACTCCATGCTCCAGGGAGCGAAACAAACGGTTTTCTTCTAAATAAACGAAGGTTTATTATAGTGCAAAGATAGTTCAGGTGGGTTTCTTAATAACGGACCCTTTTACTCTTGAGTAAGACGAAGTGATTTTAATGCCCAAAATACCCCTAACATCCCAACCCCAAATACCCAACTTCCGAAGAAACAGTTGATGAAGAATAATGATCAATTATAAAAAAAGAAATGGATAACATATGTATTTATTTTTTATCCCATTATAATATTGAGTTAACCATAAAAATAGCTGGGCACATCTCACGTTTTATTTGTTTCACAAAATTGCAAGCTGTGGCCGTAATATGGATAAAACAGCTAAAAATTTTCAAGTAATAGTTGAAAAGTCATTCACGGGGATATACAAAATCGAAATTTATTAGTTTATTACGATGGAATACACATAGACAGCTATGAGTCATAAGATCGATCAATACGGAATCGAAACATCTGAAATAATTTCCCGAAGCAAGTGAAAGCCAGTGAAATGAAATCTAGATTGCATTAGGAACCGTGACATATGAAAATAGGGTATTCTTGTTTTTTCTTGAAAAAGAATGAACATTATAAAAATGAAATGACGCGTTAAATGTGTACTAAGAGAGAGTGATAACCGATTGCTGAAATATAAAGTGCAATATAAATCAAAAGGTTGTATCGACAGGCCATTAAAACGCAAGAATGGTCATTTACAAGGCAGTGAAATAGGAGAAAACTTTAATGTAAAAGAAGAAAATAAGCAAAAACAATTTCCGTAGTTGTATTTCATTCATTTACTTTACATTGTTAATGAGAATGGCTAACCACTTTTCCGTCAAAATGCAGACATTTTAACACCTTTGCATATTTAGTAGTTTCCATTAACAATTGTCGCTTAGTCTAAACAACATGGCTCATAATGATACGTCAGCCATTCAAACTCGTGGAGCGCCTCTCCAATGCTTTAATTTCATCGAAAGGTACAACAAAATTGCTTTTCATTATGAAGTATTCAACATGTTTAAAAAAACAACTCCTGAAATGGCATGTGTACTTCTGAGCACCCCCGTTGCTACGCTTGCCAGCGCGGAGGCTGGTTATTGAGGAGGCATATGGGGGCGCCCGTGTACATTGAACCGCCTCACCCCCATCCCCCGCCGCGGAGATCTCCCGTGTGGTTGGTTCCTCGCAGCGGCGCCGCGCCGCGCCGCGCGCGCCGCATCCAATGCATGACTGCGGCGCGGCGCGGGCGGCCGGCCGGGGGCCGGCGGCGCGGGGGCGCGCCGCGGCGGCGCGGCGCGGGGGCTGACGGGCCGGGGGCGGAGGCCGGCTGCGGCGCGCGAATCAATACCGGTAGCACGTGCTGGCAGCGGCGCGGCTGGCCGCCTCACGCGACCGCCCGCCGTTCTCGCAAGCGCTGCGCTGCGCTGCTGTGCGGTGCGCACCCACTACTCGCTACCCGCTGCTCCAGGCTGCTTCCCGAGAACTGACACGTCTCTCCGAAACCTTCGAAATCAACTAAAATTGCGTTGGCAAGAGAACTGAGAGATTTGCTTCTTGAATACGACCGGCTCATTACAAAACCGATAGAGATGGTTAACAAGAGTTCACTTTTAACAAAACTATTGAAAACGACACTTGTCGCTGAGCATTCGAGTCCCGACGGTGACAGGTTTTCGATCCTGCATACATAGTCGAATTCAGTCGGTCTGGAGGAGAATTCTAGCGGCCGTCTGCTCTGATCGGTGGTTTTCAATGGTTTTCTCCGATCAATACCGGGAGAATGTCGTAGTAGTACCGTAAAAAGCAGGCCACGGACTGCCCGCGAGCTTCCGTTCTTCATCCTTGTCCCATAATCTCCCCATACACACCCACTAAGAGTTACACACATGACACAACCATAACCCCGGGACCAACCGGGAGCATACAGCTTGTCCCTTCTGACGGATGTACCTGAAGGGGTAGTAGCCACGAATAGCTCCGCGCCAGAGATTACGTTCCAGCGGGGGGGAGAGGGGGCACACTTCGTGATATATAACATGCACTACACTAACGGGTTTAATTATTACACCAGTTCATGGGCCCCGCAACACAAAATAATGAATCATCTCCCATATGTGTTGAAGAGCTGTAGTGAAGTTGTAACAAGTTACCTAAAAATCATCCCTCGATACTCCATCTCGTAATGGATTACGTGAATTGAGGATAAGTATAGAATTGAAAATCAAAATTCGACTCGGTTAACCAAGATCAGTAAGAAGACAGTCCATAATTTCTGTTCGAAAGGTCGTAGGATCAAGGATCATATGTGTTAGGCCAATCTTTTCTCCTAATCAATACTTTCGTATGCTATAAATCACCCATACAGCTTCAACTATAATTGCTTTTGTAGAGAACGTCTCTAGATGCAGTTTTCTCCATCTGGAATATTCACGCATACATGTAAGGTAGTGAATTATATGCCTGGACCTCAGCGACATGGAGGTCACCGTGTTACGAGGTACAGGACGCACAGGTCGCCAAGAATTTTCAGTGGCGATGGCGATGGCGATGGTAGTGGTGGAGACTGTAAGAGTCGTTGATCGCCGTGATGAATTGGAATGAGAGGGCAGGTGATATTCTTTAGCATGTCTCAGGGCATTCGTGTGTGAAAGGCACCGTAGATTCGGCGACTCCGGGTGATCTCAGAACTGTATAGCAATCGTTCCTAAATTACATTATCCGTCAACTGAGATGTGGGCGTTTCGTGGCATCAATTAAGCGATTAATGTTGAAGATGGGTCTCTATATATACTTGCTTTTATCGATGATTTTCGGTCCTTCCTAAAAATGAGGCGCACGTTGCCCCCCGTAGCCGCGAGGCCCGCGCGCATCCCGGCGCGGTGCGTCGTCTGCATAATGGATGAACGGGTCAACTCCTCGGAATGTCCTCCGGCGCGAAGGTGCGGAGGGGCCACCTCCAGCATTCACGGCGGACACGGCTGAGGCGAAGATGAAGACGGGATTCGGACGAGAAGGACGCGCCCGTCGCCGAGGCGAAAGTGCAGTTGCGGGCTGCGAGTGGCAGGTTGCGGATGGCGGGTTGACGGCTGCGGGTTGAGAGGGGCGGGTTGCGGATTGCGAGTGGTGGGCTGCGGGTTGCGGATGGCGGGTTGAGGGCTGCGGGTTGCGATTGCGAGTGGTGAGTTGCGAATGGCGGGTTGAGGACAAGGGGATGCGGGTTGTGTGTTGCGAGTGGCGGGTTGAGGGCTGCGGGTTGCGAGTTGCGGGTTGAGAGGGGCGGGTTGCGAGTTGCGAGAGGTGGGTTGCGGGTTGCGAATGGCGGGTTGAGGGCTGCGGGTTGCGAGTTGCGGGATGAGAGGGGCGGATTGCGGATTGCGAGTTACGCGAGTTGCCGGTTGTCGGTTGCGATTGCCGTTGCTGTTGCCGTCGCGGAGACGATAATGGCTGGCGACTTCTGGACACCTGCGTCTTCGGCGTTCTGGGACGCGATTATCAGGTTGAAGGGCCCGGATGAGAAGCTACAGGAATGGGCCGCAAGGTCCGCAAAAGCAAACAGAAAATACATCGGATCGTCGATCATTTTGTTCATAGGTGTTTCTATTCACTGACTAGCTTTTGAATTTTCTTGTGTAGACTCCAATATTCGATATAGTAACTGTTGACGCCAAGCCAAGCACATATCCGTCCTTCTCCATCCCTGTACTCCCTGTAAATGAAAGGTTTGAATTTGCATACGCACAGCACAGGTAGTGATGACAGCGGTGCCGTGGCCGATTCCGCGGAGGGGACAATGTGACGGCGAAGGTGCACCGACGGCGGCGGCGGCGGCTGCACGCGGGCCCGGGCGAGGGAGGGGCGGGGAGGAATTCCTGGTGCGGAGGCTGTTGCCAGGCAGCTCGCGCGTCGCTTACGACCGCAGTTTCCGTTTCGTTTCTTCTTACGGGACACGTTCGCCGGCTGCCAGCCGAATCGTACAGCGCGACGCCTCGAGGTCTCGGGCGCAAGAGTTATAACGAAGATTGGCTGGCGATAGCTTGGTTTGATACAAGGACGAACGTGTAAACGCGACGTCATTTATGTCCCGTTATGCCTACGTCAAATTTCTCCAAATCTATAACTTTCTTGGATCCCTCTTTGTGGTCTCAAATTAAAATGGCTAAAAAGCTCATAAAGGTTTGGAGTACCCTCGTTGAACGGACCTTTCAAGGTAAGTAGGCCTCGGATGCAGTCCTTTCCTTTGAAAGAGAAAAAAATATAATGGTAGGCAGGAATCAGCATATATGAATAGAATATTTTACTTTGTAAAATAATTACCTTTACTAACCATTTTTATATCAATATAAGATTTAATTGTGTTGAATACAAGTGAATTAATCTGGTGTCCATGAACGATTAACGCCTTGATATAAAAAAAAAGTAAGGAAACATCAAGTATTTCATCTGCATTGTTATAAACAGTTTTGCAACTTCCAATGTAACTTCGATTCATTCCACAATGAAAATAATAAGTCAAGTTGAAACATGAGTCATGAAAGTAATCGTGTTACCCATAGCATTTGCGGGTATGAATCAATGAATCAACCATTTGTTTCTTCTTCACGAGTTTGTTCGCTTTGACCCAAGACATCATCTCCTCAATCCCTGAGCCACACTGACCTTGGCACACTCACTAAGACAGAACCTACGTTCTGACCTTTACACTTTGGGAAAGGATCTGATTCTCAGTCAGTGTGCCAGAAAAGTAGTCTACGCGGTCCAATGTCATTGGCTTCATACAGCTAAGAAGGGAAGCAAATTCAGTAAATAATTCGGAGGAATAATTTAAATGAAGCAAAATAAGTTTATATTATTTAAATGTAGAAATATTTTCCTATTTAAAATAGGCAGAGTGGAAACGTTAATTTACTTTAATTAAGTAATGGAACATAATATTTTACATTAAATTCAACTGCTGTTACCATGAAAGATGCTTCAAGAAGGGGACGGTTAGCCTTCCCTCGGATGCAGCACTAATTACCTCTCTGACGCACATCTTTCAATTATTCAAGACGCCCTCCTGTAAATAGTTCTCTGATAATATACACTATGTTTAGAATTCATTTCAATCACGTTTCTCTTTTCTTTGAAGAGCTACTGAATTCTAACAGAAATTGCTTAGAGTTACGAAAAAATTATCTTCTTTTCCCAGCCAAAGTATGTTTAGGAGAACAATATTACTCAAGATAAGAGGGTCAAGGTTTAAAGTTCAAATTTACTAGAATTCCAGAAAGCCCCACATGTTACGGATTTTTCGTCCTCCAAGTCGCATCCGACGCGTTACGCTGATAGCCTACATTCTGTTTGTCTTTCCGGCGTGGAGATAGATGTTTCTTATCTTATCCAAATGATATAACTGTTTCCCTTGAAGCCAAAGCCTGCAATTCACATTAATCAAGTACACTACTTACAAGTGGATGCATCATTGGAAAGCTCGCAGAAATAATTATTTCCTTCTTCTGCTGATTGCGGCACAAATGGAGCATGCGATATTCATGCTGACTGAAAAGAGTGGGCATATGGTCTGCATACTCTTGCTGATACTACGCATTCTATTGCGATCGTGCATTTATTAGTTGCATTTTCACGTTCTCACATAACAAATTCCATGAAATTATATATTTTATTAATTGGGTTCTGGATGGCACGGGACAGCAGTGTTTTCAAATTGGTGCAACTATACTTATTGCCTCTTTGAAGGGCGCGTGCACATGGAATAATTTGATGCGGTAAATTTGATGTTTCAAAAAGGTGTTTGAAATTTAAAAGCACAATCCAGTAGAATAAATATTGATTTTTCCCCAACGTAATTGCCCGTGTGTATTCACATCTACGCGACAAGTCGTGAATTCCAGCGTAAGCTTCTAGAAGAGAAATTGTGAGGTAGGCGTATTTGATACCAGCAATCCTGCCAACTTGACTTCAACCGACAAACGCTTTCAGCGTCACGCCCCAGTAAACGATTTGCGTCGCCAGTTCTCGAAAATTTACGAGTGTAACGCCCCATTCGTTCATCGTCGCTCAAAGTATTAAAAAAAAAAAAAAAAAAAAAAAAAAAAAAAAAAAAAAAAAAAAAAAAAAAAAAAAAAAAAAAAAGCATGAGGGCGAAAGGCTGGGAGATGCCGGTCGTTTTCACTGGATCCGTTGTACGTGAAGAGGCGCTCGCATGAAGCAAAGCGACGTCCCCGTTCCCCCTCCCGCCCCGCCGCAGAAGCGCGTCAACGCCGGCGACGAGTCGAGAAAAATCTCGTCCGGGGCGGCAAAAAAACGACGAGCTAGGCCGCGGCTGCATCCCGGAGCCGCCGCGCCGCGCCGCTGCGCTGCAGCCCGCGCGCGGTGAGTCTGCATGATCGAGCGGCGGCTGGCGGTGGGTCGGCGCGCCTAAAATGGCCAAGCGCCTGCTGTTGCTGCTGGCACGAGCGGAGAAACGGCGGTCGCGCGCGGGCAGAAAGAGAAATGGCGCGACCGTAAATCACGCCGCGCATAACCCGGCGAATGTTATCTCACGCAGCAGCACCACCGCCAGCCGGGTTACGTCCTTATGACGTGACGTTCCGAGCGCAACGGCCTGCGACTACGCGGGTGCCGGCTGTCCCTGGCCCGGTTCTCGCTTAGCAGCAGCGGCGACGGTGGCGGCGCTGGCTGGTTGGCCGGCCGGCCGGTCGGTCGGTCGGTCGTCCGGCGTGGCGGTCGGACGGCCAGCCCCGCCGCCGCGCGGACCGGCCGGCCGGCTAGCCTGCCACACCCCGCATACACGTTCTCCATTATATTTCCATGTCGAGGTCGATCGCTAGCGCGGCGACAGGGGCCTTGCCGCCCCGGTGCGACACGTCCCCGCCAGAGCGCAGCACTTGCCTGCTGATCGCCGCGTGGTCGTCGGCCGACGCGCGATGCTGGCGCTGCGGCGGCCGACACCGGGTGGTCGAATGCAGAGTTACGAGACGGGAGTGCAATAGGCGGTGCAATTTACCGGCCGGGATCTTCTGTTGGGACTCACGGCCAATTATATAAATTATCGAGAGCACAGAAACGTGTCTGATGTACTTCCTACTGACGCGTCTAATGAACTGCTAATGGACATAGAGTTTTCTTGTAGTTTTACGACTCGCACTCGCAACAGACGCTCCCTATCCGCCAATTATAACAAATTTTTGGGGAAATTTAACCATTTTCCACATTCTCGTATCTGAACAATTTCATTAAAATTATATAGATTTCACTTAATATTAACAGCTGACTTAAAATTTTACTTCGTATTACCATTTTACATAATATTTTATGACAGGATACCGACGTGAAACACTATCAACGAGATGATAAATTAATAATTGGGTTCAAACCCTTGATACAATAAAAGTATGAAAGCAAGTACTATCCAAAAAATTCTTCGAAGGTTTTCAAAAAGGAAATTTCATGATATGACTTAGATGAGATCCACTGGAAGTTCAATTCTAAATCCTTAGACAGATCAGTAGTCTCTTCAAACTTATTAACATGAACAACATATCAAATATCACTTCATTCCAAATTCTTGCAAAGTTACACGAAAATTAAATTTTTCCTCATTATTTATTCATGTTCAATTAATTGCTATTTTATTCCATTATCAAATATTATTTAGATTATTGTAGAATTTGTTGATAGAGCATATACTTGCAATCTTCTGGTCAATATGATCAATTTCAGGTATCTACAATAACAAAGAAGAAAAATATAATTTTTAAATGCCTGCATGAGACTTACCTTTTCTGATGAGAAGACTGGTCACTCTGCGAAGGGCTTCTCGAGGTGACCGATGGAAGAACTTGGGGGAGAGATTGGGTGGCAGTGTCAATGGCTTTCTTGAGTCTCGTGTGTCCCATGGGCTGGGCAAGCTGTGACCTGGACTGTGTCCAGGTGCAAGGCGATCCAGTCTCTCAACAGATGCTGGGCGTGGCTGCTGCCTGTGCCGAGGGTACCATCCTCTTCCTGGTCCTCCTGCAAGTCTTAGAAGCTCTGCACCAACTAGGGCTTGCCCCAGACCACCAGAGCCAAGGCCTGCAGTGGTACCATGGCCTGCACCGGGGCGACGGTAACCAGTGGTAACAAGACCACTTGGACGAGGAGTAGTGCGAGCAGCTCCACTGGGGACATCAGGAGCACGCCGGTGTGGTGTGCGGGGTATATCACAGCCTCTTGCAAAAATTGGAGTTTCTGGGAGGGAACAGGATGTCTGCATTCCTTCTTCTCGAGGAGAATGAGCAGACCGTTTCTGAAAGGTACGACGTCGAGGAGGACCAGGTATTTCTGGAGGTAGAGTTCGTCTCTCCGATGGAATCTATGAAAAAAAGAGAAGAAATCCCAAATTAGTACTATTTTTCTTTTTTCTAATATTTTCCAAGTTTAAGATGAGTTTTCATTTCTAAAACCAAATTGTCGAAACTATACTTGGAAATACAAATATAGATATAATTAAAAATTGTTAGTTGTAAAATGAATTCACATTTGGAAAAATTGAATTAAATAATTTAAATTGAGAATCAATATTTCTTAATTGATAATTCATTCTTCTGAACATTACTGTTGAATATTTGCTTTGGCTGAAAATTGAATGTTGTTTCACATGTGCATGTTTTGTTGAGCTGGTCATGATACTCTCTTGCCAGTTGTGATACGAATAAAGCTGGAGTTGTGATTTACTCTTTTGTTAGCAGCACTATAAAATAAAATCTGTAGTTCATTTACTGATAAGTTTTTTATTACCCAGGAGTGAAAATGCCCAATTGTCAAATTTAGCTAACCTCATTTTGCTAATTCTTTTATTCATCATTCAACTCTTTGGAGTAAAAGGATGAGATAGGGATTCTGGAGCTCAAGAAAACATGCACAGATTTTATTTCTCCTCCAGACAGCCAACACAGATTAATTAATTTTTTTAATGAAAATAAATTAAATCAAATTGAATTTGTATGAGCTACAATACCTTTCTTCTAATGATCTATATTAAAAATATTTGTATTATTTCAGACAAATCTAAAAGAAATAAAATAGTTCAATTTCTATGCTTTAATTCTATGCTTAAGGCAAATTTAGAACTGTTAAAAATATCACACTTATTGGCATGTAAAAGAGAATATAAATTTGCTTCTCATTTTACAAGTTGTTTTGACTTCCAACTAACAAATAATTTGAATTGTTAAGAAGTAAATATTGGCCACTTCCAAAATATTTCTGTAAATGAACTATCACTATTTAATTTATTTAATACAATGGTTTTTAGAAGAAAACATTTTCTTGATTTCAGCTCTGTTGAGATAACATGCTCTAGTCAACAGGAAAAAAAACCCACAGTATTTACAAAACTTGCAACAGTATTTGCAACACTGCAAGTGAGTTTGAAAAATTAATATTTCATACGTACTTCTCTCCTGTTGTTGGAACTGTGGCTGCGGTGCCCTCGGCTGAAGCCTGCGTCCATGGATCGTGTCTTGAGGCTTGACATGGGCTCTTGGTGCGGGGGTGGCTCAGGGGGGCAGGGGCGGCTGAGGAAGCGTGTCCCAATGGGGTCACTGCCAGGCTCAGGGCTTCGGTAGAATGGCTCAGGCAGTGTGTCAGACTTGCTCTGAGGTGTCTGGGCAGGACTTGGGTGCACAATTTCAGAGTATTCCTCCTCATCTTCCTCCACAGGCGATGGAGGTAGTGGGGGAAACTCGTGCTGCAGGACTTCCACTGTTACCTAAGAAGCAAAAGTGGTATACACATTTTCAAACAGAACAAAAATAAAGAATGCAAGCTTAGTTAATACAACAAAATGAAAATTATCAAATGTTATACAGTAAGTGTTTTTTACTCTAGCCACCAGAAAGAATTGGAGAAAAGAAAGAATTAAAATTGTTGTCTGAAATAGTAAATCCAATTCAATATTATTCTTTTGAGCCTTACTAGAATATGTATTTATTTGTTGCCCTTATACAAAAAAAAATACCAAGTATCAATATTCATTGTGAGAAAATTGACCAAAAACCATTGAAACCATTATAAACATAGTGAAATTTAATATTTAAGTCGGTCAAAGAGAAAGTCTTCTTAATAGACAATTTGCAGAATAATTTCAAACCTAATTATATTCTAATAGTATTTATACTTTCATCTTCTCATTCTGGTAAAGAATATCTTATTAGAAAAATTATTTCAGCCATCTTCAAATTATACAGCATGCATACAGTGAATGGATAATGGAGACCTACTAACCTTGAAGTTGTCTGCAGGCAAGGCACTCGATTGTGTTCCATTTGCCTCATCCTCAACCACCGGGACAGGCTGCACATGATTAAGCTCAGCCACTGTGGTCCACGGATCACTGGTCTCCACTTCTGTTGCACGTTTGTGGTGGAAGGAATGATTGTTACGCTCATGATCCTTTGTTAAAGAACCATTGACGAGTTTATCCCTTTGATGGGATCTCTGCTTGTTTCTTTTATGACCAATATCCCTGCTCTCCAGTGAAGCTGCTTTCTCAAATGAATTCCTATTACTTAAAGGAGATTCATTTCTAGATAGAGAACCATTTTCTCTAGGTCTAATTTCATTTGCTTTGTTCTGGAGGTTCTGAAAGTGCTCTCTTTCCAGTTGTTCAATTAATTTATTTTCTTCATCATTAGAGCTAAGTTCTGCACTGAGACCAGCTTCATCGGACAAATTATCGAGATTTGAACAAAACTGAAGATCTTCCTCTTCTTCCATCGTAACTGCCAATTCATGTGGACGTTGAAGTCTATGAGAATCAGCTTTCGAACGATAATGAGAGTTGTCATGATGTGAAAATGAATTGTCGTTGGAGGGAAGAGTGGGCAGGGACACAACACGCACCAGCCCAGGAGGTGTGGGCGGTTTAAAGTCAGGAGGAGCGTCATCAAGACCTTCTAACAAACCTTCCTTTATTAAAGACTTGATATTGTCAAACGTTGAGCTGCATCGTTTCAAGTCTCCAAACTTTGGTGGCACTATTTCTTGAGGGGACAGCATGTCGGGTACTGGTTTCCTTTCTTTTTTTCGACCCTTGCGGATAATGTATGTGCCATTTGGAGCATGCTGAGGTGGAAGTTTGGGGGGCACGAAGTCATCAAGGTCATTTGTTGCCGAGGAGTCATAATATGAATCACTGAATGGAGAAGGAGCTTCATCTTCAGTACTCACTGGAGGGTCTGGCCAATCATCTGCATCTCGCAGTCTGTGGATTGAACCAGTACCTACAAAAATAAAGTATCTAATTAGATTTGCACAATACATTTAGTTTTTGGTAATCTGTTAGTTTCCTATTTCAGAAATACAAATATAAAAATAATGAAACTGAAATAAATATCCACAATTTGTAAAAATTGTACCATTAATAACAAAAATGTATTTATTATTGATATTCATTTTTTTCTACATGCAAGTTATATTATATACAAATTTTGAAAAATAGTAAAAATTTAATTATTTTTTGGATCAAGTACTCACATCTATTGTGATGCTCTATTTAATAGTTAATCTATTACAAAATTTAAGTGTAAATGAAATAAATTAAGATACCCTAAATCAAATATGTGCAATTCCACTAAAATTATGAATTCACATCTACTAAAATATATTGATTTATCAAATGCTCCCAATTAACAATCTTTGTAATATTTTCCTTCATGTAGGTACATTTAATTTTTGATATTTTTAAAGATATTCTTAGACAAACTTTCAAGTACTATTTATTATTAATAGCACTTTGAAAAATCCAATTAATTACATGAAGAGATAAATTACAAGTTTTAGTTCAAACATTTGTGTTTGGGACCAGAAAGAAGCCTCTTAAAAATTGTTAAAATGATTTTTGTATAACAGCCAAGTTTATACCATTCATAAAAATAACCTTTTCCTTTGCAACAAATCATTCATAAAATGATATTTTAAGCATATATGTAATTTTATGGTACATGCAAACCTTCCACATGATCTGTCACTCATCCTCCTTCCTTGCCCCATCTCATATTCATACAAATTTGAAAACTTGCTAAGTTGCTCATTTTCAAAATTTGTACTTATGTAGTAAAGTGTAACATTACAAAATAATTGAATAAAACAGTTATAAATATCAATAAAAAAAGTGTTATGTCTTCTTTTTAGAATTCAAAAGAAAATATAGGATCTTAAATATTCACACTGCATAAAACTGAATTGATTTTTGTTGTTAGAAAATTGTAACAATGTAATTTTTTTTTAAACCATAGAGAGCTTCTTTATTCTTGAAGGGGTGGGTCAAATCAAAAAATTCTGGTGAGAAATACTTTAAAGGGATCATGCCAAACACAAATTTTAATTATTGTATATGCTCTCATATTTTAATTGGAAAACAAATTAATTTAAATTTTCTATCACAATTCTCGTAAAGAAGAGAAACAATTTCAAAACCAACAAAAAGTAATTATATTTATCGAGACTAAAATTCTCAACATTCTCAAAAAAACAAATTTCGGAAGGAAGGTGAGATTTATTTTATTTCAGATTCCGGTTATTCTTCATTTGACACTTTTTCTTTTGTAAGTTTTAATCAAATGTATTTTATATAGATAAATTTTCATGCACTGCTTCATAAAATAAGGACTTTATCCTTTAATCTATTTGTTTTCTCTAATCATTATATGAACACCATTCTTGCAAAAAGAGCATCTATCCAATTTTTATCAAAACCGAGAATGAAAAATGGAAATGAATCCAACCACCCTTTAGGAAGAAAACAATGTGGTATAGGAGGGGTTTTTGTTTGAAGAAAGTGGCAACAAACTATGATTTATGACTTTTTTTTTTTCATGACCTACAACTGGAAGCTTTTACCATGAGAATGAAAACAAAGCTTGTGAGCTTTGTTATTTTTAATAAACTATTTGAATAATGACCAAATTAATTTTGCCATCTCTTCATTTGAAGTTTTCATTCAATTTGCAATGACTAGGAGTAGTTGGGGCTGGGACTTTCATTATTGGGTAGCAGCATCAAGCAGCTCTTTTAAATGTGCTTCAACTCCAATTTTTGATTCGTATTTTGAAACTGATTGGGTAACTTTCTTCACTCTGTTTATTGAAATAGGAAACTGAAAGTCATTTCTTCTAATTTTTGTTTATAATAGAAAGTCTTGGTGAGAGATAACTCATGCAGTTTTCAGATATAGCTCATTGAATGTTTGGCAAACATATGAAAATCAACGAAGGGACAAGACAATTAGTTGGGTGTAGAAAAAATGAAAACTTACAATATTGAATGGGAAGAGGATAGTTCTGCAAGAACTGGAAGTTTTCGTGATATAGAAAACTTGAAAACTCAAAATTGTGGTTTACGACTATCTCTCTATATTTCCATTCAATTTCTTCTTCCCCTCCTTTTTTACAAAAGCTTTTTGCTTTGACATTTTTATGACATTCTCATGTGTTGGTCAACTTAGCTGTGGTATTCCAATGAGAAGATAAAAAAAAATAATCTGAATAAATTTAAATTTATGACAATTCACAATTCAAAAATTTACTATGGATACTTTAATTGAATTAACACTGCCGTATTTGGTGGTTCAACTTAGTTACATTGTATATGCTTTGATTTTCACTTTTTGAAATAATTTCTTTGAATTGTAACACTTCATTGAGCTTCCAGATTTTGTTTCCCTTATTTTTTTGCATTTGCATGATTTTGACAAAATAATTAAACAACATGTATTCTATTATTTCTCAGGACTTATTTTATATTTTGTTGCATATGCCATTCTCTTACTTTTGTTTCATGTTTGTTTGATATATTATCCTGATCAATACTATTTAATTCAGTTTATTTGCTGCAATGAACACACAACTGCATTTGCAGTTTATCTTCTAACTGTATTTATGAATATTTAAATAATATTAATGAATATTTAAATTAAAATAAATTTAGCTCATGATGTAGCTTTCTTGACTTCAGTAAATACTTCTAGTAATGAATTATTTACTTACTTCAGTTTTACGTAATTAAGTTTTCAGTCAGATTGCTAGCTTCCAAAAACAACAGAGTGGAGAATCACATGGCTGACACAATATGAGGGTTTTGATCAACATGAAAAAACATGATTATAACAAAAATGTTTTTAATCGACACCACTTTTCTCCTTATTGAGTAGACAAACAATAATTTCAGAATCACGAATTTGATATGCTATTTGCGTTATGATATTTCTGTTGCAGTAATTTCAATTATTGTGATTTCATGCTGGGGAGCTAATGGCACCAAGTCCTGGCCGACGGAATAAAAGTCAAGGACTGAGATGACTGATTAGTTTAACGGAGGATTACTTCCTGTTTGATGCAAAAATGGATAAAGAACGTTGTTCCATATAAAATAGTGAATATAATAATTTCAATGATGAGAAAAGATAAAGATTAAAACATTTAAGTTATATGAGGGACTGTGCAAGTGACTTCAATGTTATAATTTTCATACTAAATTAACAAAACTTACTATACTGAAAGTCACAAAGGGAAAGCAGAAGATATTTACATGAGCTTATTTGTTTACACTATAAACATTAATCAAGATAAATCTATTTTCTTGTTCTTTGATCCACATGTGTTTGAATCCATTTATTTCAATAGATAAGAGCTGCAGGACCTACATCTGTACACTTGGAACAGATGCAAATATAACAGTATAAATATGTTTATTTTGAAATATTCTTTACCTATTCTGGCCAGCAATTGCAATCTTCATATTCAAGGACTTGAGTCTTAGTAGTAGAAACATGGTAATCTGGCAAGAACTAAAATTATAACGTGATTCTCAACTTTTTTGACACACAAGCTAACACGAATGAAAATAAATTTTGACTTTCTCATCTTCACATCCAATAAATAGAAAAATAATGTTTTCTTATTGGTGGGTCTGATATTTATCAAATACAGAAACGTGAAAATTTCATCTACAGTCGTACACACAATGGAATGTTTTCAATAAAATTTATTACTAAAGCAAATAATAATAAGTATAATTATTATTACTACTACTATTATTATTATTATTATTATTATTATTATTATTATTATTATTATTATTATTATTATTATTAAAAAAGTACTATTATACAGTGAAAGGATGAAAGTAGATGTATTCAAAAAAGACTAAATGCACAGATACATTTATCCAAATAGGAATTTATTTGATTTGCTTTTTATTCAGTTTAAAAATATATATAGTTTTAAAAAAAGTAAATCCTTATTTATTCTAAATCTGTTAACTGGAAACTGACTAGCAGGCTTTTTATTGCAATAAATGTATTCTATGAGAAATATGCATCTTAACTTTTCATGTTACTGCATGTCAAGACACAATTTGTCAATAATGAGAAATTAAATAGTTAATACATTTCCCAGGTATGATGTTCACTTGAAAAGGGTGAAAATATTAACAACACTGCAAATTCACTATCACTTGATGAGAAGACCCCAAAAAATTACAGTGTGTTCCAACTGATTTTTCCAAAAATAATTTACTTAAGTTCTGTAATAAATATGAATGAATGTTTATACATTTGGTTTCTATTAAGTGAAGGATAAAAATGCAAAAGAAGCTTCAAATTGCTATTGTCAATTCAGAACTAATCATAAAATTAAATAAGGGAGTTGTTATAAGAACAGAATTTCAAATTAATTTTTCAGTAATTTTCAAATGAAGGGAAAGAAACTTTAAATGCCTTATAAGATCAAAAAGAGTTTCTGAAATTAATAAATTAAAAAAAGGGGGGAAGCACATATTCTAATCTTTAAACTCTCTTTACTTATAATATTACTCATTATTTTTATTAATTACTTATTATTAATACTTGTTAATAATAACTTATTATTAACTACATTATTACTTACAGCATTATTCATTATTTATAATTACAAATTATAAAATTATGGTGTTGGTTATTGAATATGGATACGTGTATTAATATTACTATGTTTAAAATATATAGATTTATCACAAGCTATGTTATTTCTGCTCTATGAGGAGAAGCTCTTCGTAATGTAACCTGTTGTATGAGTAGAAAATTGTATATAAAAGAATATAAATGTTGGACTCTTGTGTTACAGGATGTAAATGGAAGATTGTACAGGTCTTGAATAGGTGACAGTGAAACTTAGTTTGTAAAGAAAAATATATTTGAAATAATAATTGCATCATTCAAATTTTTAACTGTGATTATGTTTTTTAA